CAGACCGAAACGCTGTATGTCACAGCTTGTGATTGGCTCCTCTGCTCTCTGTGAATCCATGTTACATAAGCTTTTGAAACGTTGTGATGTTCTGACTTGTGCAGCAGGGAAGGATTTCCGGGGCACCCATCACATCATGTGCACAGTTACATGCAAAGGTACATGTGCAAACACTCGCTGTGGGCAGTAAGCACCTCACATGTGACTGAGTTGAGGTTGAAGTGGACGAGCACATGAAGAGCATTTAGCTGCATGTCATACATAAACTCTCCTCTTAATGGTGGAATGTAAGGGAACGAAGACAGGGGAGGCATTACAGAACCATGTATGAGGAGATTTGAATACTTAATAAGATATAATTGCAGCAGGGAGACACAGTTGCTAAAAAGAGGACAAAGGATTTAAGAGCTTAGCTGTTAGACTTTGGATGGATGCTGAAAGAACATCTTGCTCAGCAGCACAAGGGAAAGAAGTGGCATGCCTTTATTTTAACATGGTCGACCATTTAGCCTCTTAGAGAGATGCTCAGTAGAGTCAGTTTGTTTGGAGGGGAAAGAGAGGAAAATTGCGTTGGAAATTGAAAAGTGAGTTTAACCACTAAAGTGTAACACACACACACAAATCCTCCCTCTCACTTATTTTCATCGGCAATCATTTTCTGTCCTATGCAGGATTTTGTTTGATTCTGACCACATAATTAATGAACTACATGCTTCCTTGTTCATCATAGGCATGCATTATTTAGCAGAAAAGGAAGTGTATTGGCTATCCACTAAGAGAGGAAGAACAATAGCCAGTCATACCATTGGTGTGGTTTCATTCATTAGTTTTTGAAATGTCTGTTTCCTGCGTTTAATTTGTTTCTCTGTAAAAAAGGGCATGCCATCCTTGGCAAAAAAACAAAATGGAACATTTGGTGTTTTCTTTTGTATCGTTGTGTGTGTACGTGTGTGCTATTTGCTCGAGGGTGTGATGACTTATTGTGTCTATCCCCCCCTTTTTCTCCCTCTCGGTCTTTCTCTCTTGCACGCACACTCGCATGCTCACCCACATGCACCTGCCTGTATCTATTTCAATGTACTATTCAATGGATGCATTATATTCATCATCGTACATTATTCAGATTTGAATCAGGGACTGTCATCTTACTGACGATTCAGCTCCCAAATGTATTAGCTCGGACAAGAATAGCCTTGACAGCACGCTGCTGTGATCCAGAGAATTTTCTCTGCATGTTAGTCACTAAATACAACATCATCGTTGGTTATGTTTTTATCAAATTGGATGTAGTACGTGTCATGGCTCTTCTTTTTGTCTTTCCTCATGAAATGCACCTAATGTGCAGAAGAAAAGTTCTAGAATTGGTAAAATAAGTCTTACCTACTTCAAAAATACCTAAGTTCACTATCAGTTGGTTGTACACACTTTTCACAAGAACCTGATTCAAGGATTTGTTATGTAAAAGGCGGAAGAAATAAATCTATAACCCTGATGAAGCCTAATTTCTGCTGTGGTGGGATATGTATCTGGGGATATGTCTGGGAGATTTTACTTGTTGTGCAATTCTGTTGCAGCAGTTTTAGAAAACCGGTTTTGAAGTATATTTATGAGCACATTAAAGTTCCCATTTAACATCTACGTCCACTTAGCTCAAAATGGACCCTATGAGAGAGGCCATGTCATTTAAAATATTAAATCTGGCTCATTACACAATGCTGGTTTTATGGGTGACTGAAGCTAACAGTCAAGAATTTTGCTCGCGACATTTGAAATGACTATGTTGTGTTGGCTTTAGACATTTGAACCTATTTTACCACAAACATCATGTGTGCATTGAGTGTAAAAGTGGCCAAAGGGAACTAATGATACTTTGCATTAAAAGAGAAACTAAGGAGGGAACTGTATGTATGAATTAGTTGCTGCACCAACTGCTTGGAAACATAGTTACTCAGACAATCAACAAGTGCTTGTATTCACCTTCCTTCATGTACTTCACAGGCTGTGTACAAAGAGAAGCAATTAGCAACTTGGCAACAGGTTATATAATAGAACAGGGTGTGTAAAATAGACTGGTGCCATAGAATAGCAGTGGAAGAATGTGTAAGCATCGGTGTATTTTTTTGCTTCTTTGCAGCAAATGTTCTATACGTATTACATATATATCATTTTACATATAAATGAGAGGAAATACTGCACAATTCCAGGTAAAATTCATGTTTATCCAGTGACATCCAGTTACAATCCTTGTTGACCCAAATTATTCAATAATCTGTAATTTTATCTATTTGAAATATTTGGTGCATGGGTGCTGTGCAACATTCAGCGGTGGAGAGAATATCTGGGCCACATTACTCTAATCCAGGAGGAACTGGAGCCTATAGAAGCCTCTACACATCCGTAGGATCACAACCTTTTTCAACACACAAACAGTGTTTAGTCTTTGTTTGTGTTCTCAACCGCAACAGGACCTAAGTGCGGAACATATTGTTGACAAAAGGGGTCACAGGCTGTGAAACCGGAATGCCTTTTCCTCACTTTTATGTGATGCAAGACGCCGAGACATAATAGAAAAAATAAATCTGATCGCAGTAAAAGTGAAAAGTGAAGTGTTCGGGACTCGTGGAGGAGTTAATTGATTGAAGGAAGCTCTGATAAATCTGAGCCAATGAGCACATCATAAATATTTGAACTGAATAGGTAATCGTTATGAACCTGAACAAGAAGCTGTGGGTCATCAGTAAATTACAGGCTTATGAACACCACAGGCCAACTTGTATAAGACATTAATTTTCTGAGCTTCCTGTGGATTACTTTGGTTATCATAGGGATCATATTAATTTCACGTGCTTGTATGAATGACCTCCTTTTTGGGAATTAACCTGCAGAACAAGGCACTACCATTGGAGTTATTAATGATTCGTGACCAGTTCTAATTTTGGTTTTGCAGAGTAAAACTGTGGCCTTTTGTGTTCCAGAACTTACCAGTGCCTCTTTTCCACTGACCTTTTGGCTTTACTGTTTTAGAGCTTTTGTTGAGTTAATTCAAGCATGCTTTTCAAGTATGCCGTGATACATGTTCCTCTGAGTTTTTCCGAGCTCAGGTACCAGGAAAATACATTGCACTGAATGTTTTATTTTATTCAGGCTGGTCTGGTGTTAGATTCAGATTTATATAATGCATATTAAACACAGATGCAAAATGCATTTCTTAACTAACAGCTACAGTGTTGATAACTAAACAATTCTTGTAGGAAATCAAAGGATAAAAAAAAACAAAGATCAGACTATATTATTATTTCAAGACAGATAGGACATCATTAAAACTAATAGAAGCTTTTTGTATCCTTACTAGTCCTTACTAGCTAGTTTAGAGTAGAGAGAAACATTCTCTACACAGGGCTACATGGTTAAGGACATCTGGTTAAGGACAAAACATTATTAAAGATGAGACTGAATCTGGTTGTGAAGGTCTTGAAAGAAAGAAATAATTTAGAATTTTTTTGTCAATTCAATAGTTCACCAGTGTAGGAAATTGATTTAACAGCGGAGTCTGAGACAGTTCTCTGGTGGCAGTAGAACGGACCAGCTGAAGTATTATCAGAGACTTGGTTTGGCTACCAGCTAAAATGACATTGCAATTGATTAGTCATAATACTCCTGATTTGTTCATAAAGGCTGAAAAATACTCCAGAGACCTCTGGATCAGTTAATTAAAAACAAATCTAGGTCAAAGAATTTCTACAGCATCTCTAAGTAGAGATACTGAAGACCATGTTATTGAGAGAAACAAAATAGAATGTATTGCCTTTCAGTGTATTGGCCAAAAACTTATTGTCTCGTTTTAGGTTTTGTAGCCTCAGTTTCATCTGTTTAATAGTGAAGCAGCATTAGGTGTCATCTGCATAATCACAGATCTGCAAATCATCTTTTCTAAGAATATGGCTTAAATGAAGCATATGTAGAGACAGCAGATTGCTTCCCCGTTCAAAAATCTGTATTACGTAAGAAATGACTGTGACTAATTGCATAGAACACATCATTTACACATAGAAACCAGCAATCGACCAGATAAACATAATCTAAACCCACCCAAGGCCTTATGCTTTGTTCCGATGATGTGTTTCAAAGCACAGGACCAGAAATATGAGACCAGTTTGAGTCAATAAATGACTTAGTTCAGTACTGTGATGTGCTCTTTATCCAGATTGATATTACCTGTTCATTGTGTTGTTCTGCAAATGTGAGAATCATTTATATTATATTTATATCTATAATAATTACTTGAGGGCTATCGTAAATGCTCATGGTATATCGAGAGCCGATAAAGGGAGACTCATCTGACTGAAAAAGTGCTTATAAGGTAGAGTGCCTTAAATAGTCGAGTTGGTAATAGGTACAAGAGGCGCGTTGAAGATTTAGACTTTTCTGCAACAGGATTAAGCAGAGAAAATGGTATGAATAATTGATTTTATTACACCCTATAGTCAGACCAAAACAGATTAGTGTTGTGTCAGCTGAGGGACAAAAAAAGATAAATCTAATCCTTAGTTGACAACATTTTATTGGAGGAAGAAAATGCATTACATTTTCACTGCTAAGCTCTGAGGAAATATGGTCTTCAGATTTTTCGTCAACCTATCAAGAGAAACGGTATTAAGAGACAGGTTCCCCTATCGGTTCTGGCTACTGGCTTTTTTTTAGTTGATAACACTGATAGTTATGCGTGAGAGAATTATGGATGTTTCCCAAGAGCAACAGGGAAAAGAAAAATGGGTAGATATGTGTTGCTGACTTTATGTTAATGGGACTGAAAATATGAAATACCTTCAATAGCATGCATTAAAAGTATTTTTGGGTTAAAGAAGCATGAAGATTTAACTATTTTTCTGGCCTCTGGGCTGGAGTGTGCTTGCATTTTGTGAAAGGACCTGCTATCTCCCTACTCACAAAACAGAAATAGCATTGCTGTTCTCGTCCCGAGGACTCGAGCAGTTGCAATCGTGTTTATCCCTGAGAAACCAGAGCTTATTTTCTGTACAATGAATTATTCAAATTTAGACCTACTATGGGGAGGAACAAAAAGCTTGATGTTATCTTTCACTAGCATGCATAGGGCGCTTTTTCCCTAAAGCTGTAGTATAAACCAAGATTGTTCTGCACTGATGGTAAGGAGATATTTTGTTTCCTTCCAATCATATCGTGCACGGCTAATATAGTTTTCCACATAGGTGAAATTGGCCATTTTGTCACGCTACAACTGATAGAGTGCAGCAGCTCACTCACTTAAGGTAGTTGCAAAGTTACAAGATGACAACACATTCACATGCTCTCTCTTGTTCATGCAAGCAGACATTGGATAAAATGGGACATGTTGTTCTTTGGGCCATATTATGTTTATTCCCATGAGAACACACAGAAAACAGATGACATTCCAGATGATCTGTCTCTAACAACAAATTTCGGACATGGTATACATAGTTAGGTGATAAAACAAGATGGACCTGAATGTGGAAAAAGATTAATGAAAATAATAATTAAGAAATAATGTAACATTACCATTGGTATAAATTGGAGAATCTGGAATCTCTTTTCACTCAACAATGATATTTTGAAATCAATACAGTGTCTGATAACTTAATGTAGAAATCTTGAAACTTGCATGCCTAAAAAATACCCTGTATTTGTTACAGTATTATAATTACTCATCAAAGGGGAGAATTAGACTTGAATCATGCATACAAGTCATGTGTCAGTTCAAGAAATGCCAAACGTTGATGTGTTGTGGGTAATGGTCCTACTAGGTAATGTGTTAAGCTCCAAATCAGCAATCAATGGCCATAATGTGTAAAAACACCAGGGTCATTTGCCAAACAGGATCAAAGTGCAGATTGTGTAAAGTTGAAATCAGAAGGCTTAAGCCAACAATGATTTTCAGAGGAGATGATAATGAAAAAGGCAAACAATTTGTGGGTCAAACACCAAACTCATGAGATAAGACAGTATACTTGATCCTATCGTCAATGCACTTTGTATTTCTATAGCTGAAAAATACCAAGGATGAATAACTTTTCAAATATTTGAACAAAGCAAAACAAACCTAAAAGGAAACAACGTATTTAATTTGACTCGTAAAGCATTTGAAATATTCATATATCCATATGTGGGTTATAAAAATTCATGAACATTTCAAAACTGAAGCTGAGCATAAATATTTTAAAACTGAAACTACATTTGAATGTCACTTTAAACTAGGACTGACATGCATCAGCTAATAGCAGTAGGTTGGCGGGTGGTTAGGTCAATGTGGGATCTCCTCACAGGGAATTGTGCTTCATGTGTTACCAAAAACAGCCTTGAATTCAACGTCTCATGTGCTGCAAAGGGAAAGATAATAACATTTATAACATGTCAAGAAGATTTCAAAAGAGTCAAGTCGGTAGCATATACTGCATTTATCATCTTTTGCATTTTTACTGTTGATTTAAAATCCTGAAAAGGCATATAAATGAGGTACTAGCTTATTTCAGGGGTTATGGCTCCCAGTGTCACAATCAGACACATGATGAAGTTTTTATTTTTTGTGATTGAACAACTATGAGGAAAAATGTGACCAAAGGAAACAAAAGGGTAATATGGTTGCCAGTAGATTAAGAATTTCACAAAACAAACATCCCTTAGCAGATAAGAAACCTTTTAGCTTTCCTCACCAAGTGAAAAAGGTTCCTTACAAAATTGATGTCACTTGCAGAGAACGGAAACTGTTATCCTACATTTAAAAAAAGGATAATTAAAAGCTCCATAATCATCTGGAAACTGATGCCAAACACATCAGCTGACTTATGAGACATGTGATATTAGATAAAAAGATTTGGTTAAGTTGTTTCTTTTTTTTTTGTAATGCTAAACTGTGTTTTTTCAAAAACTCAGTATAAAGTTTCAGTTTCATTGACTGCTATGCATTCAGATGTGTGGAGCTGGGGATTGGCTTTAGAAGGGAAACCTCTTCTCATCTGCCTCTAGAGGAAAGCATGCCAGTTTAAGAACCACTGTTTGGGGATTAAGCTGAATGAACACACTAAACTGCTAATTTTGAAGTATCTGCAATTAACCAGTGGTATTCTGTAACACTGTAGCTACCACTTTTAGTTCAAGTTTAGATAGAGTACAACCCATTCTCACACTGAAATCAATCGATTGATGTTCACAGATGCTAATCTTGCATTTGTTTTTTTCTCCTACTACCAGGGAGGGTGCTACATACACTTCTGTCGATGTAATTAAAAATCTAGTGTAAAAGTATCACATCTTTGTGAATCCCATCCATAAGTAAAACAAGCGTGGTAGTGGTAGAAACAGTCAGGGGAACCTTGTTTTGTTTGTTCGAGAGATAGATCTGACTCTGCTTCGACACTTGATTTTTCACCACCTTGCTTTCTTTGTCACGATTACACACATTGAAAAGTACGTGGAAAAGGTCTGAGCATTAAAACAGTCTTTGGTTACGGTCAGGTGAAAATAAATTACACGGTTAAAGTCAGGAAAAAGTGAAGACTTGCATTGAAGTAGACCGTCTAATAGCATTTCCAAATAATCCACAAAAACACGCTTTGAAAGTTGAATTAGAGTGTCATGGAAAAGGAAAAAAACACAGGCTTTGTGCTCATCTGGAAAAATATACAATTTTTTGTTTGGCGAGTGCTTTACATTTTTCTGTGAGATAGGGTTGTTACATTATCCAACTTAAACTGATGAGACATTTGGGTTCATTACGATTATAAAAAGACAATCTGAACCAGCCTTTAAGGATATATATATATATGTAAATATATATATATATATATATATACATATATATGTTGTACATGTGTGTCTGTATGTGTACTTAACTTGCCTATGAAACCAATCTATACTATAGATTGACACTCTAACAGAGGAGTATTGCATGAGGCAGGCTGTGGAGACTGATGTCTTTAGTCTCCAACAACTGCAATGGAACAAGCTGGCCATTGATTGGATGAAGCACAGTCTTTCCTGGAGCTTTAGACTGATGCGGCCCTTCAGTCAGGCAGTCCATCTGCAAGGGGTGGCTCTTCCAGAGCAGCAGCTGAGCCATTGGTCTCTCCTCTATCGCCCGCTGAATCCCTCTCCTGCCTCTCCTCATCCCGACTGAGTGGATCCTGTTGCGACAAGCGGTCAAAAATATGCGTTTTGGGATCTGAGGGGCTGAGGAGTGGCAGTTGAGGCAAAAGAGGTTCATCCCGAAACTTAGCGGCTAGCTCCTTGGCGCTGCAGGTGGGGGTGTTGGTCTCGTAGACATCGTGGAAGTTGTTGTAGTCTACCTCATAGAAGCCCTTCTCCAGGGATAGAACTGGCGTGAAGCGGTAGCCCCACAGCACCTCGGTGTCAAGGTAGGAGCTCCGCGCCTGACATGTCATCCCTGTAGACGTGGACAGGCATTCCAGTTTGCATTCGCACGAACATGAAAACAACGGCGAAATGTGGCACATACAGGGTGGACAGGTAAGGAAACACACAGGTTCACACACAAACACACACACAGATGGAGAAGAGTGGGAGAGACAGCATTAGTTAATAATTCAGGCTTTTATAAAAGGTGAACACAGAAAAAAAGCTTTTCTTACACCCCAGTAGAATAATCGACGGTCATAAAGATGCACCTTACTACTTAGAGCAGAACACAACTGCAATCTCTTGGATTGAGTTTGTCATGGAGCAGAATATATGCCACGAGATTGCGAGGAAAGTTAGAGATAATTCAGCTAATGCTTTTTACATACACATCATAGGAAACATAGACCTTGTAGTGTTGAAATAAAACCAATTTCCATTGTGTTCCATAAAAAGAGATGGCTCTTGGCAAACCTAATTATAATCCTGTCATAACCACAATCCCACAGTTAAACCAGAATGAAGCAAAACTGAACAATCAACGAATGAATAGAGTATGCAGCATTTTTTTTGCTTTAGATTTCCTGGGCTGATAGAAAAAGTCTCTAACAGAAATGGGTTTTGTGGAACATAATTTGGGGTGCAACCAGCCACCATTTGGGCTAAAGCAGTTTCAATATAATCTTAAATAAATACAAATGTGCTTGGTGTCTTTTACCTAAATTACCTAATTGGCCAGAAATATCTAGTCTATGCCTTTTTAACAAAAAGCCTTCCATATTCATATGTCTACATACAAAAAGAAAGGTTGTACACATTTTCTGCTGCTTTCTCTCTGTGAGATAGGAGTGACCCAGTTTCTACATTTAACTTTTGAATATTTTTTTTTTTTCTGTGAATAGATCATCAAAGACAGCATGAGACAGTGACGGACACATCATTTGAAGTATTGCCTTTAAACTCTGAGCTTGATAGTTTGTTTTTATAAAAAAGCTGCCTCTAGTTTTATCACATCTGATTTTTTTTCACTATTGAAATATCCAACTCTCTTTCATTTAAAATGTCATACATGTACACATGCGCACCATTCAGCTTATGCATAATTGAAATCTTCGTTATTTCAAATATGAAACCGCATATTTCCTGAGGGCTTGGATTAGGTTGGAAGAGTAAATGGAAAAAACAAAACAAAAACAAATATATAATAAACTAGAACAGCCACTCACAGATTATCATGGTTTAAGGCATACAGATTCTTTTCAACATACAATTAGACATCCTCTTTCTTGCTATTTTATTATCTTACCTCTCCTGGGAAACATAAGTATTTACTTTCATATTTGTGTATTTGATTGGAAACGTCTCTCAGCATTATATCTGTAGGACGCATTCCTTTGCTCCAAGAATGGTAATACACGGGTGCGTGTAGGCATTCATATTATTTCTTCAGGGCTTTTAATTAAAGTGCAATTGTTTTTTTTCTACCACATATCAGTTAACAGGGAAGAAACAACAAACAAGGTTGCACCCTGTATTTAAAAAGGCGTGACTGGGGGATCCCACATAGGCTGTAATTATCTTCTCAAACAAAGAGCACTCTCCTCAAAATCATCCAGTAAATGTGGTGAACGAGATAAAACCAGGAATCTGTAAATTAAGTCCTCTCCACAACGACCACTTTTCACTATCACTTCAAACACAGGTGTGGCAAATGACTCCAGTAATGGATGCTTTCCACTTAAATGATTTAAATTTAAGTTGTGCGCCCTGCGTGGTTTACTCAGAATGAGAAAGGGGGGGGGGGGGGGGGCATCGCTGCTGCTTCGCACGTGCTCATACAGCAGAATGTCAGCGTGTCATTGACAGACGCAGTCATGTGTCCATGCCGCTGTTATTGCAGCAGCTGCCAGTTTCCATTGTCTTAGAGTTCCCCGCTCAGCCCCCTGCATCCACCTGTGCACCCTATCAACAAATTCTTCTGTGGGTCGAAAGTCTTGTTGTCACTGACATCGAAGTGGTGAACTGAACCTGAGTTCTTTCATGTAAGTCATTTTTCCTGATGGGTCAGCATCCTTATTTGTGCACTGTTTCCCAAAGAATGCAATAAATCAGAATTAGTCACAGGCATTATAATTATGAATGAGCAATTGCAGTTCATTTGTTAGACTGGCAACCTGTCCATGGTCTAACCCAGCTAATGTCCAATGACAGCTGAGATAGGCTTCATCCCACCTGTGACCCTACTAGAATGAAAAAAAAGGAAAAAGAACATGGATGGATGGCTCGATGTTCATTTGTTACATGTTCAAGATGGTTAATTTTTAATTTGAAGGAATTTGAAAGGCTGTTCACTCATTCACATATTCTTACTTAAAGTAGTGGTTTGTTTTTTGTTGTGACTTCTATTTACCCCTTTGGGCTAACTTTACATACACACATGTCCTTTGCTGACGAAGCTCAGATTTCACATGCAGTCTGGCAGCTCAAATTCATCTTTGTAGCTACCACAAAAAGAAGTGTGCATAATGTTAACGTGTGTGATTATTATAGTTTTGTTTTGAATTAAATTGAGCCTGGTGTTGCACAACCATCTCACCGAGGGAAAAGTTTGTAGAACGGACACCCCCCAATAGCACGCAGATACCATTTTGGATATTTGGCTGACAATATGGCTTCTCAAAGAAAACTCAAAAACCTTACCCTTATCAGTTTTTAATTTCAGCAAAACCAGTTTGCACACATCAACATTCAGACTGGAAACTCACTTATTGACTTGTTGCGAGGTTGTTCCTGGAAAGAATGTGAAATGAAAAGAAAAAAAACTGCCTACGTGCCAGTTTACACAACAGCCACGCTGATGGTTTCTTTCTTCTGCAAAGTTGCTTAATGCAACTAAAGTCTTATTTATCATTTATATAAGTCTTATTTTATCAATAAATATGTGACTATTTATGGGAATAAGCACTTGAACCTGCTGTCTTCAGTTCAGAGGGTATTGAATAATGAAAACAAAAGCTGTTGGCGGCAACTCTGATGCATACAATTGGGCCATAACATGCATAACTTTTGTAATTGATAAAGACACTAAAAAATACTAAAGCTGACATTGCATGTCTCTTTAGAGGAAAATGTAAGCATGCTCGTGCTCAAAAATAGCATTTTTAATAAAGAGAATACAAATGCAGTGCATATGAAGTCTTAAGTCTTAATATTGTTAAATGAAAGCCATACTACATTGGCACTGCTCAAACTAAGGAAGGATACTGTACCCTAAAGGCCTGCTACTGAATAGAATTACATACAAAATATAAAAACGGGTCTTTAATTCAAAGAGAGGGACTAAACTAGAGTATAAAGGGAATATTGCCTTCACAAAGTAAAATGTTTATAAAAGCTAACTTAATATTTTCTGCACATAAAAAGATTACATCTGTAGCCTCAATTTGTATGTCTTTGCAGCAGTGATATTGAATGGATACAAGGTATTGAGATGGAGGATGCCTTTTATTGGGCACACTATGAAGACCTGGTGCCAAATTCTTAAAACATGCTACTCTGAGGTATCAGAGTAGGTGTCAAACCCTCAAAAGGATTTGACTTAACTTTGTCAAGCTTTGCTCATCTTTACCTGCTTTATGCCAGCTGTGTGACTGCTGAAATGTTCTGAGAGACATCAGGTCATGTTTTATATTACAGAATTGATGCAAAATCAGGACACAGTACTTAAGGATGATAGAAATACTAAAACAATGCTTTTGTTTTTATTCATTAGACATACGTTCATAATAACCCCCTGTTTAATCTCTTAAAACTGAACTGAAAAAAGTATTTTCACCATTTCCTTATGGAAGCACCTGTATTTTGGTTAATCAAAAATTAATTTCTAACAGTATTTGGTCTAAACATTTAATGTCTGACTGCGTGACCATCATAAAAAATATATTTGGTAATCTTTCTAAACCAGATTCAGTAGATAAGACTTTGATTATTGATTCATAAGTGATACCAGACCTGCAGATGATGGCTCCTGCTCATATAGGAATATTCTTTAAACCAAATCCCTGGGAAAGTGTATCATTTAACTTGATAAGAACAATTTAATCAATTTATAGTACATTTAATCAGCTTCTAACACTGGGATTTTATAATCATCTTTGTGTCAGATGGAATTCGTTATCTAAAATTGGTCATAAGGTGGTTGACAGTTTCGCCTCTTATTTGGTTCCCTTTTTCATAGCAAGGCCCATGTTATATTTATTACACTCCATATATCAGAAGAAGGTGGGGGAGGGTTACTGTACAGTCACATTAGTTTTTAGCCCGGCGGCTAAGGGCAGCGCAGGTATAGCCTCAGTAACACGCTGTGGCCCTCTGTCTATGAACCAGTAGGTGGTTGAATACCCAGCTCTAAATGCAGAAAGCTGCTTTGCAGGGGCAAAATGGAAAACACAAATGTAAGAAAAAGTTAAACTGAGAAGAAAAGTGCTGCTGAATCTGGGAGCCTATGAGCCCTGAATCAATAATAGATTGATGTATGGAGGTGATATTCGGTGAAGTAATTAGTACGAAGTTATTAGTAAAATGCATAATGCATTGTATTTATTTACTTGTTATAATCAGTGCATCAATAAAGGCGGGTGAACAATGCAGCCCAGAGATAAAAAGAATACCTGATTCAGATAAACAACACAAATAATTCAGAGCGACACATTAACAGATAGTTGTGTACCACTGTGCCGTGAGGTCTTCTGTATTCATATAATCATATTAATTAGGGGAGCGACTGTTTTTTATGTGGTAGAGTCTCTGTTTTTTAAACATCTTTTACGGACCACGTGGCAATTACACATTACAATATACCACTCACCCCCACACCCTCAGCAAGTAGAGATGAACTTTTTGGAACTTTACAGAAACACCTGGTCGCGTGTATCTCATAAATGTAACCAGCCTGGAGCTTGGATTTACCCATAACAAAAGCCTGGGGCATGTGCAGCTACACTTCATTCATGTGGACATAAACACTTCAAAGGCGTGTCAGCAAAGTAGCAACAATGGACATGAGGGCTGCAATAAGTGCGCACAAACACCTTCTCTATATTTCTAGAGCTGAGCTGCATACTTCATTTGAAGTAATGTGAAATACAACTTAGGACTGAAATGTGGTTGTGATTTGAATGAATGAAAGAAAAAAAGACCACCATCTCCTCTGAAATCATTAAACTTCAAATCCTCATTAGAACCAATTCCAAATCTAGACTGAGCAGCATTAAAATGATTTATGCTTCACTTAAAGTCAATTAGTCCATTTCCATCCATTAAAACATTTTCAATCTTCAACACTTACAGGTACCTCCACCTTTATCTACAAGTTCATCCATTAAACTATCTTTCCGGCCCTTCCCTCTTACATTCAATGGTCCATCACCCCTCATATCAGTTCATTCATCATTCATACTTTCCTCCTATTCTGGTCTCATTTCTCTGCTTAACCCTTTCTTTGATTGCCCCGTCTCCCTTCATACCTGTGGCCTCCACCATGCCTTCGAGGATGACCACAATCTCGAACTCCTCCTTCTCCATTTGTGCCATTGACAATTCCCAGAAGGGGCTCTTCTCGTTAATCTCGTGAGAGATGATGAGCGGTGACACCAGGAACAGCCGGTCATCTCCGGTGTCGAAACCGATGTTGATGTCAGTCTGGTTGAGAGGGATGAACTCCCCCTCTTTGGTCTGCTGCGAGCGGATCAGCTTTGCTCGAATGGATGCCTCCACGATGTGAGAGTTCCTCAGGTCCCCCACTCGAAACATCAGGCACATCTTGTTGTCTCGCACCGATATGACAGCTTTGTGCGAGAACATGAGGGTCTCGGCGCGATTCTTTGGCTGTGAGATCTTGACAAACATGCAGCCCACCATCATGGCGTTGACAATGGAGCCCAAGATGGCTTGCACCAGAAGAAGTATAATGCCCTCGGGGCATTTTTCTGTGATTACTCGATACCCATACCCAATGGTGGTCTCAGTTTCAATAGAGAAGAGGAAGGCTGAGACAAAACTGTTGAGGTTCTCCACGCAGGGGGTCCAGCCCTCCTCATCAGAATGCACCAGATCCCCACGGATGAGTGCTATCAGCCACCACAGGAACCCAAAGAAAAGCCAGTTTATGATATAGACTAGTGTGAAAATTAAGAAACTAAAACGCCACCGTAGGTCCACCAGGGTAGTGAACAAGTCACTGAGGTAACGGTAAGTCTCTTGCACATTCCCGTGGTGAACGTTGCACTTGCCGTCCTTCTGCACATACCGCTGCCGGGGCTTCTTTACCGGGTCAGAAATTAGGTGGGTTCTCTCGGTCGAGATCTGAGGCTCCCTCAGATGTTTAGGGAGTTTCTTCACCTGCGTTGAGGATGAGAAAAAAAAAGAGGTAATATCGGGAAAAGAAGGAGAAGGAGAAATAAAGCGGGCGTACAGATACAAATGAGGGGAGAACAAACATCAGCTATTGATGTTTTTTTTTTTTAACCTTCGGGGTGCTTCTTCACACCGATTTCCTTCAGTTAATATTTTCTTCACAGCTACAGCTGGTTTGCACTGGAGGACGCAGATATGACCCTATTCTACATGATTAGCTTTAAGCCTTTCGCAAAAGCACACTGCTCAGATGTGGGCAAATCGCATCAACAGCGCCTTCAAAGTCCCCTTTCCGTGGTGCTCGACCCTGACATTGCAGATGCCAGTCTATGTGCGCATACGAAAGAGTAAAAAAAAGAATCAGGGAATAAGGACGTAACAATAACACAAGGACTCATAGGTCTTTCTCTATGTTGGCCCTGCTCCAGCGAGGCGATCTGGCACCACAGCTGTGTCCTGTCTCCCCCTCTGTCCCCTGAGCGCCCTCCCTTTGCAGGCTATAGGACATTAGGAGAAACAGAACCTCCATCCTTACCAAATAAACCCTCATGCCATCCTTTTTAACCTAGGGCATGTGTCCGGGGACACACTACACTCATCTGAATATGGCTCTAATCAAGGTATATGAATTATTACAGCACTGCGTATGATTTAGGAAAACAAATATGTACCCCACGGTCTGGCAATGCAGCAACCTACAATGAATTCAGTGTCATGCTCCTTATTTTGAATGGACAAATGCACACAGAGATATACTGGGATTAAGTTTTCATGCATCTTTTGAAATTGTCTGAAGACACCATTGCAACGTAATGGATTCTCTGTTGACAACTGAAATAGATTGTGTCCAGGTACATAATGGAAAAAATAAGAATAACGCATATCAGATGCCTCTGATCTATTTGTCACTGCAGTCGTGCTCATATCAATTGGAAAGTTACACCTAGCTGTGCTTACACTCACTGCATTATCACAGACTCGATCACACCAGCGTTTTTTTCTGACAAAGAAGATAATCCAACATGTTACAATGCCCTTGCAGTGCCTTCGATTGTAAAGGCTGCAAGGTAAGATCTACTAGACAGGTTTATTACAAGTAGTTTTACTGAGATGTCAGGGGCACTTTCACTGTATCCCTTTCTATAATCGTGCAAGTTTGATTTTGGTCCGAGTGTACAGTATTGACTTTGCAGTTATTGATTTGAGCTGATCCTTGTTTAAGAAACGTTTCGACGAAGAGGATTTGAAAGACAATGCTTATTGACCTCCATCACAATTAGTGGCTTGACAATGTATGGCCATCCTCATTACAGACCATGCGAAGGGACATTGGGTCACTTCAGGCCTCTCCTTTGTAGAGGAAAACAAAATGCATGCAGGTGTTTCTTGTGTCTAACCAACCAAAACCATAATTAGGCCCGCTAATTTCTATAACTTTGGCTAGTCTAGTTGAGTTATTGATGTAACTTTCTCAAACAGTACTGACCAACCTTTTGTAGTCAATATAGCCCATAAACAAATTCATTAGATGTTAGTCTGTGGCAGTTGTAATTGGAAGGGCTTTCCTTTTATCGAATCCCCTGGCCAGGCTTGAGTAGGCACCATAAGTTCTAATCAGCTTGGGGCCTGGGACATAACAATCACAACTCTACCATCTGATATAGGCAGAGAGTAGAGTATGCTTTTGAAATCTTTTCCAATCTAAAAGTAAACTGAATTATTTTCTTATCTGATTTATTGTAGAATTTGATTACATTTTGTGTACATCAGTGCACAGTACTCTGCTTTTGTGGTTTATCTAACGACTCTTTTACCTTCCCCATTGCTAAATATCCTTGAAAGCAGACAATCTAGTTTTCTCATTAATTCAGAGCTCTGTTCAGACTTCTTCTGCTCAGAAACACTCTACTGAAAGGTAAAAATATTTTAGCTCCGCAGTTTACCTGTGCAGGTGTTACTCCTATCTCCATGTTATGGTCCATGAGGACTCGAGAATCTCCTGCCATCCTCAGCTGAAGCTCACCTGTTCAACATAAGAAGGTATTTCAGACATTTGGCATTGTTTACATTTTTTGTTTCAATGTAAATATTCACAAACCAAAGTTTACAAAATTTTATTTCTACAACAAAGGCATGATCTGTTAAAAATGTATAACACCATTTTATTTCAGATTTCAAATGTTAAGGTCTGATAGAAGGCCAAAATATCAAAGTCGAAAAAAGTTTTGCGGTACAGAGAGGTGAGAATGCATTGTGCTCTCAAGAGGATGCTGGGTCTCAGTAGGCTACGAATAGCATAATACCAGTTTCAGTTGAATCCATATGTCGATATTTGTTAATTGATATTGTCAGATCTTTTGAATCCGTGAGGATGGTTTGATAAATCAATTTTAAAAGATCTGCATTTTTTGTTAGCTATTCACAGTAAAACTGTATCCATTTAATGGTAACATATATGGCTGTATGCTTCTTGAATTTAATAACACATCACTCTTATCTGTGCTTTGTAGTACTCATTCGACCTGTTTGGGAAAACTTTTTGATTGTGTTCATGGGAATTGAGTTTAAACCCATGTTTTAAGTGACAGTCACTCATTTCTTTCAATACTTACTGTGGTATAACACCAGCTTTGCTGGGAAATTAAGATACAGCTAAAGTGAGCAAAGGAAATAGGACACAAAAAAATAAAACAGATGTTTGTTCGCAGAATGATGAACGAGCTTTCGAATGAGCTAATTAGAGCATGATGTCACTTGGCCGCATTTTTCCAGCCAATTTTTTTTATGAGACTGGCTGTATTTCATGTGAAATAATTATTAAACCGTAGGCTATGGCAATTTCGTAGGCCGCTTCATTTAGCAGTCTCTCTATTATACTTCTCTTTTCCACGTTGAAGGTGGCATGAATGGAATGATCCAAAGTGATATCTTGAATGCAGCTGAAAAACATCTATGTGAGTAAAGGTAATTTTCAGAACCCTTGCTATTTAAGTTTACCCATGCCGACCAATTGTAATATACTGTATGGTACATTGTGAGTCATATATATAAGATTAACGAACTTGCCGGTTGCAAATTGCTTCCACTGAACAGTCATATGGTAGAATGTCTTTTGCTCATTCCCCAATAATTACCCACTCTTGCAACATAAAATCTCCTCGTATCAAGTGAAGCATGCAAAGATCTATAATTTTAAGACATCGAGAAACAGGATGTGTACTCTTGTTGAAAAGTGAACAGAAAGTAAAAAAACAAATTAAATCAATTAACTCCACAGGGAAATAAAGCAATATATATTTACCATAAATATTGTTGAGGAATTTATGATGTAAACACAAAAATAAATTACTATTTTCCCTGAAATTCAACACACTAAAAATATTGGGGTTCTTTTTGGCAAATGACCCATACTGACGGTAGTATGGTCAAGGAAATGTCAAGATGTTAGCTCGTTTTCAATGTGGTGTGATGGCCATGTCACAGCACTGAGCTACACCTCAGTATCACATCACATGGGAGATGACCCGGTGTCCACTGTTTGCTAATTTGCCTGTATGATGAAGCAGGCTCAGCTGCAGCATTTTTAATTATCCAATTTTCCCAAAGAGCAGGCTCCTCATTGGCAGGCTTGCCAGTCATTGCAACTTCATGTGCCCACATGCACAGACACGGACGCACAAGCCTCTGAATACAAAAACACAGCGTTCTCACTACTACACCCCAAATCAAAGACAGAAATTGCTGGAAACACAGAAATAAATACTCTGTGCCACGTATTTACTTTACATGCAAGCCAAATTGGAAATGTGTGAATTTTAATTATTGTTTTTAGGTCCACTGAGTAGCTTGGTGCTACACTGACTCTGCTCTGCATGCTGAGTATTGCTCTACACCTGAGCAGTATGCCAAAAATAGTATGTTTAAACATCTGCAATGTAAGGTCCAAAGTGACAGAAGTACAAAGGGTCCTCTGGATGATGTAGGATTTAATAACTGCTACTATAAAAGCGAGCGGAGGTGTGAGTTTGAGGAGGGGATCTGATAAAACCCTAATTTTAGCAACAACTTAACACCTTTGGAGCTCCTAACAGGGCAGTTAACCAACAGAGTGCCAGGATGCTGGCGGAAAGGCAGCTGCCTTTAATTTTCAGAAAGAACAACGGGATACGCAGTCTCCCGTAATGAACTAAGAAAATCGACACGGGCTACTTTTGTCAGTGCCTCCTGACCTCAACAACTTCTGACATTTCTTCGTCGCCTTTTCTTTGATGTTATTCTATTTGATCACTGACGGGCGAGGAGAGCACGTCACAACCGAGATCCACACAGGAATGCAGTGTTTACATTGATGGTCCAAAGCAAAGGGCAGAGTGACGTGACGGGCATCTGAGCAGAGCAAAGAGAGACAGACGGACGGACAGACAGCAGAGGCACACACACACACACTCACACAAATCTTTCAGAAAGCCTTGCTGGATGGGTTGCAGGCCCTGCAAGGTCTAGCTGTTTGAAACCTTTTTTTTTGGCTCTCTCATGAATTAAACATGACTCCCTGGAGATTTGTGAACTCAAGACCTGTGCATATTTCCAACGTGGCTGTAATTGCAGCAGGTCCAACGAGCCCAAATGAGAGGTGTTCGAACGCAGATACCGGCTGGGGTGTTTTATCTACGCGCCTTAAGAGGGCAACAAGCATTTATCTTGTTACCAGGAGAGTGACAGGATACTTTGGCTGAATTGTGTTTGTGTCCTGATAACTGGAGCTCTCATTGCGCTTAAAGACAAGGGGTACAAGTAAAACTGCAGAAGTCGCTTCATAAGGGATATCTTCAGTTCATATATTTTCCTTGTTTGCTGACACAGCACGTTGTAAACAATAATCTGAGCAGGGAAAAGCAAAATGTGTCTTTTCTTTTTCTCATATGTGACAAGAGTTACAATTGCCCCCAAGGGCCTGCGCTCCATTAAACCGCACTTGCTTAGTTATTTCATTTCCTGCATTTGCATAACTCAAATGCTCCATGAGCTCGCTTGTAATTGAGCAACCAAGTTTCTTTTTTTCTTTTTTTTTCTTTTTATTCAAATCACTACTACACCAGTTAACAATACGACACTGATCAATGCAATTGAGAACCCCTTCATTATTTGAACAACTTCTCAAAATTCCCCAATAACACTGGGCAAATCGATTAGACTTTTCTTTTCAGTGGGAAAATACTGGTCCGCAATGCCTATTTACACAGATATGGCTACAAATCCAAAGGATGGGAACTTCTGAAGGGCAAAAGCTCAGCAATATTTCCAACGTGTGGAAAATGAAACGCCCCATGGCACACAAGTTTGCTCTCACTTGACAGCTGGGTGTACGTTCTCACCGTTGCTCTTTGGGAGTGCGACCCATGCCTGGTAGGGTGGCAGGTATAAAAATGGCTGAAAAACACAGCAACCTCAGCAGTATTCTTCAGTTTGCCATACAAATTTGACCATTAGTGAGCATTCATCCATAGATTCTGAGGTCATGGCTTGCAGTTTTCTGTCGGTAATGAAAAATGGCCCCGACAATGGAGAGAGAAAAATAGGTAGATGACATAGAAGTGGAGAGGTATACTGGATAAAAAGAAAAAAAAACAGATGCTGTATCGACTTCTACAGTCACTAAAACAGCAACTCTGTTTTGAAATCCCTACAAGACATTGATATCTATGTTGTTAGAGTCATTTTTGCTTAGCTCCATGGGCATGGAATCATCAGAACTTTCTCATTTCTGATTCTCCATCCCTCTCGTCTCCTCTTGTTTCATACTTACTGGACCTAGCATGATCATTTCCCAGTCTCGGGCTAATAAAATAGCATGGCTTCATTCCTATCTCTGCCCACTTATGACACTTTGAGGTCGGTGGGTCAAATGACTAAAAATGTCCTCGGCTAGTTTGGCTCTGGGCCCAGCACACAATCAAACCCTCACACACAGCTACATCCATATAAACACAGACACTTACATCACTCCACTCTTTTCCCATCATGATACAGAGCTGAGTGTATCTCCTTGTGTCCTTTGCAGAAGTGACCTTCTCTTAAGCGACACAGATGCACCGACTTCCTCCTACACTGGAGGAACAATTTCTCTAATGATATGTCCCCCTCTCTCCCATACCGGCATTACCTGCTCAGTCCCCTCCTTTACTGTATATCTCTGGCAAATACGAATAATTATTGAAGCTGTTGTAACTCGCAGAGATTCAGTTCTCCTCCTATGATACATGTGAGTGAAATAAAAAAAAATAAAAAAAATAAGAAGTGACAGCTATGATTTCCCACTGCTGCTGAAGTGGGAGAGGATAGGATTAGAACCCAACACCTACAGGAGCCAAATAACACCCTCTTCATCTATGCTGACCTGAAGCGTGAGAGAGAATGTGAATACAGACTTAAAATGTGTGATGTTGAGTGGGTGGACATGCGCTCCCAACCACCAGTTCACCTCGGTGTTTCACAGGCACATAGAGGTACAAAGCAGATGCAAATCTCCTGTATCAAATATGATAAAAACAAAGTCCACCCTCGGTCACAGGCAGCCTCAGACGAACCAATCCTGGCAAGATACAGAAGCGGAGCATACAAAACACCTTCAGAACCACTTTTGACATATATTACTTGCAGTAATCGTCTGCTGCAGGGCGTTCTACTGGGAGTGACTGAGAACATGTCCTGTGGCTTCAGGACAAGCCCTAACCATCAGTCCGCCACCTCTGTACTTGTCAGTCAGTGTAAACGTCCATAGTGTTTTGTGATTGGTTTCCACCAGTTGTGGTGCTGGGCACTGTTTTACCTTCTAACTGTTTATGTTGGACAACATAAAAGAGACTCAAACCTCATAATTGTCTAATATCAAACAGCAGCAAAAGGATTAGATAAGTATAAGACTTACACAGACTTAAACTGAATGGAAAATAATTTCATTGAGTTAGACCTAAAGCCAGCCATAGCTGCTCAGTCTTTTGGCGGTACAATTACTGTGAGGAACTTCAACA